ACAATTACCAGTACTTCCATGCTATCAGGGAAATATCTCACTGTTCCCTACAAACTTATTAACTTGCTTATATACATCCTTGCCTGGATCTGTATCTCATTTTTTTCAATTGTGTCTAAAATCTCTCCATTATTCAAGTTAGGATTCAAATTGCAATTCCTCCATGAGTTCCCACAGTGGAGAGTAAAATCATGTTGTCCGAATAGATCTCACAGTCACTCCTTTATGTACATTTCTTGCCATCCAGACAACAAGTATAAATCCAGCTCTTTACTTATTCCTGGAAGCCCATCTTTGCAGTTTACTGTTGTTCAGAAAAAAGATAATCAGTCCTTTGAGTAACCTCACTCTATGACGTTTCACTGCCATGGTCTTCCGGTGGATTAGCTTGTCAGCTTATATTCACATTCATTCATTTTCCCAGTTACTTTCATGATCATTTCATTTTATGCTCTGTACTTAAAGCCCTACCATCTCCTTCCATCCACACTCTCTGTTTATGGTGTTTATGTCCTAATTTTAATAAGGAAATAAAAGCATGGGCAAGAATTTACACTGATAAGTCATTGTACCTTTAGGCTTTGCATTCTTTCCCAGGTTCAAAAACGAGTCAGCTGCATCTTTCAATGCCTCAGCTACCATCCTCAGCCTCACTTACTTGACAACATCACTCAGGCACTCCTGTCCCATCTGTCTTGCATGATGAATTTCCTCCTCTTTAGAAGAGCTGGTTACATCAACGTACAAATAATATTTTGTATTTCCTCTCCCTTCTGCCTCCTACTACTCCCTTTGCTTCCTGTCCTTGCAAATTCTTTTCTAACATTTTAAACTCAACCTGTGTCTTTTGCACCCATAAAAATGCTCTTGTCAGGCTCATCCATGACACACACTTTGCCAAACTTAGCATTTTCAACTCATCTCTTATTTCCTCCTTTATGATAGTCTTTTCCCAGTTTTCTGTTAAAACATTATACTGTTCTTACCTTGACATTGATCAGGTTTTTATAAATTTTTCTTTACTATTTCATTGTTTTCTCTCCTTTTAGTATCAGCCAAACTCAGTCTTTGGTATTTTTCCCTTACCTATACTATTTTGCTGGCCATCTTAACCAGTCCCATGGATATCATAACCATTTCTATTCCTTACACTTAGTATTTGTTCAGAAGCCTGAACAATATTCTCACACTGATGTCTAGAGCGCATCCAAATGCAGCATACCTACAACAGCCTTTTTTTTTTCTTCTGATTCTTACTACCTCAGAGCAAAAGCTCTGGCAGAATTCTTTTTCTCTCACCTTCCATTCACATTCAACCTGTAAGGAAATTCTGTTCGCTGTTTCATTAAAGTTGTTTCCAGACTTTAGTTGAAAGCTAATTTTGCATTGCAGCCATTGCTATCTCTCTCTTGGACCACAGCTCTGGCCCCACAGCACCCTTTGCCACCACCCTTGCCATGCTGTTCTTAACTTAGGAGCCAGAAGTGTATTTTAAGACTCGTTACATGAGAAAGCAACATGCACCTCAGTGTTCACTGCAGCACAATCAACAATCACAAGAATATGGAAACAACCTAAGTGTCCATTAACAGAGGACTGAATAAAAACTCTGATTCATCTGCACTATGGATTACTACGGTCAAAAAATGAAATACAATACTTTTTGGCCAAATGGCCCAAACTAGAGACCATTATGCTAAGGGAAATGAGCCAATCCCAAAAGCTCAGATATCATGTATTTGCTCTAATATGAAATAATATGATATCAAATCTAGTGATATTACATGCAAATCTTACCTTATGTCACTTCATACTTATCTGTACCTTTTGTAATAAGAACTTGTGATGTAATTCATTAATCAACCATCCAGAAGAGAGGCCAATACCCTTTTATCATTGTTATTACTACTGCCCATAAATAATGAAGATCTAGTCCTCATTTCAGTAGGGCCTTGGAATACAAGAATGAACTCACAATGAAATGGCTGACAGTCTCTTGCCTGGTTGGGAGATTCTCCAATGGCAGCATGAGACTGGAGGGGGGAACATGAGGAGGGCGACTTCGGGGAGAGGGAAGGGGGACCCCGGTGCTAACTGAACTGTATCAAATAACAATTAAAATTTTTATAGATTGATTTATTTGAAATGCAATTACAATGAAGGAAAGTGGTTGGGGGGAGAGAGAGATTTTCCAACTGCTGGAAACTCCCCAAATCCAACAATAGGCAAGGCTGGGCCAAACCCTACCAGGAGCCTAGAGTTTCATCCCAGTCTCCCACATGAGTGGCAGGGGACTGCATTCTTGGGTCATCTTTCTTTGGCTTTCCAGGTGTTTCAGCACAGGCTGGACTGAAAGTATAGCAGCAAGACTCCAGATAGTGCTGATATGGATTTTTGTCATCGCAGGTGGTGGCTAAACCCACAGTACCAAAATGTTGACTATATGAAATAGATTCTTAACAAGACTACTCAGACTGCATTAACTATCTGCAGTGATTTCTCATTTTAGATTCTGACTAGCTCCGGACTGCTCTCCTTTGTTCACCCTCCCTTGCCCCATTTTCGTCCCTCAAACACAGAGGCAGGAAGCTGCCTTGGGGAGTTAGCTCTGGCTCTTCCCATCACATCAAATCCAATTCTCTAGATATCCTTGGAGCTTATGCAACTGTCATGTGTGTTTTTAGTCCAGTATTGTATTCTCATTAAACTCTGTTCTGGACACCTCACTCAAATATGTGACAGCATCCGGCTAGCCTTATTCTATTTTAATTTCCCATAGTATTTGTCACTCTTTCACAAGATCTATAATGAACTTATTGTTGTATATGTCCCAGATGGTCTGACTTCCTGAAATAAAGGTCCTTTTTCTTTTCTAATTAATGATGTAGCTTGAGGTCATAACAAATCTTCTTAGGCTAGAGTAAGTGTTCACTATATATTAACTAATTGATCTAAGGTTTATTCCTCTGTGTTAGTCTTTATGACCATCCAGTCTTGGTTTGCCTTCTGTTTTGGTGAAGTTTTTTTTAGTAGCGAGGTGATATGTATAGAGAGTAATCCAATACTTAGAACTCTTTCAGACTTCTGTGACCCAGGACACAGGATTTGCACATATGCACACACACACACACGTACCATATATTTTCAGTAAAATTTTTAGTTCATGAAGCAATATGTGGCAGGTTGAATGTTTGAAAAACTCCTGGGAAAACCCAGATTTTTTGCTGTCAGCTAGGAAAGCCAAGCATTTTCTTTCGCTGAGTCACACTCAAAACCATGCAATGTTTGTTTTCAGCTGCACAGGCTTCCATTATCATTATTTTGTTATAAGCCTCATAGGAGGCTTCCCCCTGCCTTTCTCCAGTGACCAACCATATTGTACTGTTCCATGTTTTGGCCTCAGCGCTTAGTCTTCTTTGTTAGTGTTTAGGACAATTGGGAACCATCAGGAAGGGTAGAGCAGGGCAGTGAAGTCCACTGTGACATTGTGGAGACTCACTGCTACTGAAACATGGAAAGATTCCCATTGTTTATTCCAGTAGCTTCTCAAGGTCAGATTTAAAGTGATATCTCTCTTAGCACTACTCAAAACCAAATCAATGCATACTGTCATTTTCTGAGCAATGTAGAAGTTGGTCTACCACCAGAGATGTGGGCGTCATAAGAGATTTTAGATAAGCTTACAAATATATTTGGGAGTTTTATAAGAAATTTGAAGCACTGAGATAATATAGAGAGAATGATTATGAGAGTATTGAAGAGGATTTGCTTTAAATAAAAGAATTAGTGGGTTATTTAGATCATATTTAATTGGAGAATTTCTTTTAATATATTTTTAGCAGAAGAAAGCAATAACTGCTGGATATATCTTTACAGTGCCTTGCTCAATATCTTAGATAAATGTTAGCTTTTCTCTTAAGATTAATTCATCAGATATTTTTAGGTAATCACTTTTTATGTTTTGAAGCAACTGGAAAGTATAATAATTTAGTTATCCACATTCATGAAATTAATTGCATTGAATACATACATTCAAGGAATGTGACACATTTGCACTTTCTGTGATGGAGGACAATGAATGCATACTTTGTATCACAAACTGGTCGAAATCCTGGCTGTCATGTCTTTGCTGTGAGATTTAAGTAGCTTACCCAAACGCTGCTAACCTTGCACATGGTGTGTTATGAAGATTAAATATGATGTGGCATATTTTTTAAAAACTAAGAAAGCACACATTAAAACAAGGGGCCAAACAGGCATTTAGCTGAACAGTAAAGTCATCAGTTAACTACACTGGAGTATTTACTTTTTAAAAATGTATTTATTTTTATTAGAAAGGCAGATTTACACAGAGAAGGAGATACAGAGAGAAAGATCTGTCTGCTGGTTTATTTTCCAAGTGGCCACAAATGTCCAGAGCTGAGTTGATCCAAAGTCAGAAGCCAGGAACCAGGAGCCAGGTACTTGCTTTGTATCTCTCATGTGCGGGTGCAGGGTCCCAAGACTTTTGGCCATCTTCTACTGCTTCCCCAGGCTACAAACAGAGAGCTGAATGGGACATAGGGTAATCAGAATAGGAACTGGCACCCACATGGGAACCCAGGGCATGCAAGGTGAGGACTTTAGCCACTAGGAGACCATGCTGGTCCCTGGAGTACTTACTATTAATACCTGTAACCCAATCTTGACTCCAGTTTCCTGCAAATGCACATCCTGGTAGGTAGTAGTGATAACTCAGATGAGTGGGATCTTGTTACCTATCCAGTTGGGAGAGTTGATTGTGTATCCAGCTGCTGATTTCTCTTCTAGTCCTAGCTGTTGCAGGCATTTGGGGAGTGAATCAACAGATGGGTAGAAGTACTTTGTCTCCGTCTCTCTTCCCTCTTCTAAAAAAAAAATCCACAACGTAGGTATTAAATGAATATTAATCCCCACATGCCCTTCTTTCTCCAACCTATCTACCTGTTTAATGGGTCCTCCTTTACCCAATTGTTTTCTAGGAGGCATTCTGGATGGATGGCTGCTGGAAACCCATTGGCATAGCCAGCTCTTCTTCAGTCCTGAAGGATTTTTCCTGGCATTGAGTAATGACAATTTCGGTAAGAGAATATTGATAAAATAGTGTACAGAATTTTCTTAAAAGGTCATTTCCAACTTAGGTACTTCACAATAAATTACATGATTATTCTCCAGAAATATTGGGATATCACACACACACATTTCCACATAAAATTTATTCCTGTTTTGAAGAGAGATGAAACAGAGTTTAAAAAAAAAACTCCTTTGTTGCTACATATTTCATGCCAATGTGAATGCATTATTTTACATATCAAACTATTTTGCTCTTTAAATATCTATCTGCTGTGTAAATTGTGTAGTTTTTGAGGACAAGACCTTTTATTATTCATTTCTTCAGTGTAAACTAAACAAAGCACAGAATTTTTGGTGTATAAGGAGGTGGGTAACACTACTTTTTGAACTATTAAAGTTTTAATTACTCAAAAGAGACATAAAAAATTAAAACACAAAAAAATTAAAAATCAAAATCATAAAAATAATTTTCTGAATCTAAAAAAAGGATTAAGTCTCTCAAGAAGGAATAGAACACACTTCATTGATTCCATTTTATCTTTTTTTCTCCAAGGGAAATGTAATTAATTTTCTATAGTTACATTAAATTAACATAGCAATAATTTACCTATGTTAATAATGTGTACTTTTATATGCATGTTAGCCTGCTAAAAAGAAGAAAGAAGGATGAAGAAGAGGTCAACGTTTAAGAAAAACATTAAGTGGTTGTATTGCTACAATGCAGATCACCTGTATGCAACTGCTAAGTGTCTGCTACAGAATTTGGAATGCTGGAGTTGGAGGAAGGGGAGAAAAAGTGAAAAAAAAAACCCCTATATTCCAGTTTAATAATTGCTACCAATCTTCATTAAATTCAAAATTATGATTAAACCACCTTTTGTATAAAAATATGTTTGAGCTTCTGTTTTTGGACAATAATTTAATCTTGCTATTGGAAATTGTGTTTTTCAGAAACCACATTTGAGAAGTACTTCCATCCAGTGCTGCTTGTGTTTGTTGCTAAACAGTCATTTTTTACCTGAGGCTGGCATTCCTGTCTTCTTCTTCAGGTAATTTTATCTTTTCTTAAAAATCTTCATTTATCTACTTATTGAGAGAGAGACAGAGAGAGAGAGAGAGAGAGAGAGAGAGAGAGAGAGAGAGAGAGCCTCTCCAATTGTCACAATAGCCAAAGCTGGACTAGGGAAACTCCAGGAGCCATGAGTCAGGAACTCCACCTGTTTCTCCTCTGCGACTGGCAGGAGCCTGTACACTTGACCATCATCTGCAGCTTCCCAGGTAGGAGCCATATTAGAAGCAAAGTCACCAAGACGTCATTTTGATATGAGGCGTTGCATCAACTCAGCCACAATGCTAGCTTCGAGTTTTTCTCAAGCGTCATCATATTAAGGACCATGGTGATTGCCCTTAAATATCCTTCCCATGAAGCTGCCTATTTTCCCCCTCTCTTAGTCCGAATGCTTGGTGGCCAGGATATTATAGAGAAAAGTTTATGGAGATTAGGGAGGCTTAGTGAACACTTCAGTAAGATTCCCTACTTCTGGTCTTATTCCCCAACAGTAGTATATTTCCCAAGTAATGTAGGCTTCTCGATGCCTAGCTAATCTTGGAACTATACCACACACTCATGTGTGTCACATACTATTGACAACGTTAAAAACTGGATACTTAGGATTCACATGTATGAGCTTTCTAATCATGCCTGGCATCGACTCTCCCTGTCCTCAGACTCCTATCAAATTATAAGTTTTCATCATTTATTTAAATCTGTTCTTTCTCCTTTAAACTTCCCCATGTCTATTAGTTTTCTTCCTCTTCTCATAAATGCAACTAATACAGTACAGTCGGTGGGCCTGAAGCACCCACACTGTTTTTATGTAATTTGACTCTTGTTTTACTTTCATTGTTCTGCTGTGTTATGCCTTGTGATTTAAAGAAGCACATTTTGCAGAACTGAATCTTCCTCAAAAGATGGAGCAGTGTTGACTTTTTTTTACAAGACCCATCAGGGAGTGACTTTTTCCTGGAGCTCTAGGAATAATTTAATAATCACTCAGTCAGTGGCAGTGCTTTTTAAAATTATTTTTATTGGAAAGGCATATAGAAGAGGAGAGACAGAGAAGATCTTCCATCTGATGGTTCACTCCCCAAGTGGCTGCAAAGGCTCAACATGAGCTGATCCAAAGTGAAAAGCCAGATTTTCCGGATCTCCCATGCAGGTGCAGGGTCCCAAGGCTTTCCCAGGCCACAAGCAGGGAGCTGGATGGGAATTGGCGCCCATATGGGATCCTGGCGCGTTCAAGGCGAGGACTCTAACCTCTATGCTATCTCACCAGGCCCAGTGGCAGTATTTTATCTCAATTTTAATTTTAAATTTTTACCAAAGTGAGAAAGCATATAATGATTCTGCCTAGATTTGGCTAAACGCTATAAAATTTATGAAGAAAGCTGCTACCAGCGTAGTAGTAGTGTGAATAATGAAAGGGGCTGATTTAACACAGTCAAGAACATGTACGGTCAGAATCATTACGTGAAAATGGTTATTGCTTTTTAAAATTATCTATTTTCTAGACTTAAATTTTAAACTCAATTTTACCTGTTTGCTAGAATCTCTGATTAGAGCAATGTTATGATTCATTTGAAAATGTTTGGCACTAATCTCGCATCTGGCATTTCTTCTTCCATTGTGATAAATTGCACCAGATTATTCATGAGTTATGACTCTAATTAGGTTCAAATCTAATTGGTCAATATTCAAGTTATCCGGAGGGGTCAAGGTTGTAAGCTGTTTGATGTTTGTGTTCTGCTGCAAAATTCTTGAATCCATACAAACATGGGCAGCACTGGTCTTTTCTGTGACCCAAATTTCAAAAAAGAAATCTGAATTGTTCTTTCATTTATCCACAATACTATGCTCATTCAAAGTGATGTTTTGTATGCTTTTTTCAAGCTGTATCAGTGTAGGTCTTCCTGAAACAGAAGCCAATTGGCATGATGTAATTAGTGATTTGAAAAGAATTGAAGATCTTATACAAGTGAGTATTCATTGTCCATAACGTCGTTGCTACAATTTCTATGACATGTCTCTTCTCATGTCTTCTGTCACTTTTTGTTTCTAAGATTTATTTATTGGAAAGTCAGATATACAGAGAGGAGGAGAGACAGAGAGGAAGATCTTCCCTCCGATGATTCACTCCCCAAGTGAGCGTGACGGCCGTTGCTATGCCGATCTGAAGCCAGGATACAGGAATTTCTTCCAGGTATCACACACGGGTGCAGAGTCCCAAGGCTTTGGGCCATCCTCGACTGCTTTCCCAGGACACAGGCAGGGAGCTGGATGGGAAGTGGAGCTGCTGGGATTAGAACTGGCGCCCATATGGGATCCCGGCACGTTCAAGGCGAGGACTTTAGCCCGTCTTCTGTCACTTTTAATGAGATCTCATTGAATCAATATTTTTGTGAAAATGCATGAGCTCTCTGAGGCCTCAAAAATATTTTGCTTACCATCGAAAATTTTTAATTTGTTAAAACTACCCCCTAAGTTGTCTACCCTAATGAGCTCTCTGGTCTTCACCGATAAGGAACTGGAGAGGTTAGTGGCAGCTTCACAGGGAGCGACCCCATCTAGGAAAGCACTTACTCCATTGGGAATCTGATAGAATCACTGGTAAGACAAAGTGAGAGAGAAAGAAGGAGAGAAGGATTTCCACTAAAAATCATGACCTGGAGAGTTACCTTTTATCCCTGGTGGCCAGGCTCCCATCCTCTATTTAGAGAAATCCAATATCCTTGCTTGGAAAAGTACCTCTTACCACAGTAGCTGAAACCAATATGTGAGAGCCCAAAGCATACCAAACACTGCTCCAAAGATTGTGAAAACTTCACTGTCATTGGAATCACAGTATATAAAAATAGGTCAAAAATTGCGTATGAAATCCAAAGAGGCTGTTTATAAAAATGGAAGATTTAGATCATCGCCAAAATGGCAGGATACAATTCAAACTCAGCCCAGTAAGGAGCAGAAAAGTTATAACCTGAATAAGAAAGCCAATCAGCAACGTCCAGATCAAGGTGGACCATATGTTGGAATTATCAGACATTTGAAAGCAGTTATTAAAACATAGTTCAAAAATGATTAAAAATTCATTTGAAACCTATGAAGGAGGGAAACCTTAGTAGAGAAATAGAACATGTAAATGGAGCCAAATGGAACTTGAAGAAGGGAACAATTTGTAACCATAAGCATTGAAAGTAAATGTTAATTATCAGAATAACTTTTATAAAGGAAAATTATTTACATGAAAGATGAATAGCTGCATAGAAAACTGTAAAAAGGCGCAGAGATCTTGGAGACAATAATCAAAATTTCCATTATTAATTATCACAGATGGGAGAGAGTGTATCAAGTAAAAGTTGGAGCTGGGCAGAGTTCATCAGAGAACCTAACTTAGTTACTTTAGGGATGAGAAACTCACATCAAGTATGGTGGTTAGACCAGGTGAGACTAAAGGATCAGAGGATAAATCATAGTGTAGTTACCATTACCAGCACAGCATGAACAGGTTTGCAGACGGTGTGATGTGCAATTGAGAAAAGAAAAAATGAGACAGACACAAGATCAAGACTGCGAAAGTAGGTGACAAGAGGAAAGCCCCTTCTCTGAGGAAGGAGTTCGAACTAGAAGGCTGACTGCCTCAGTTTTTTCTCAAATGCTTAGGGAGTCCAATTACAAGAATTCATATGGCACAAATGTTGATAGCTACATATTGATGATAAACAGCCAATGCTTGATGATCAGGAAGCAACAGTGTGGCCCAAGTCAGTACATGACTCAAGGATATATTAAAGTACACAGACCTTTGTCGTCCGTCATTATCCAACTGTGGACCCTCACCTGCAGACTTTAACCTCAGTCTTGGACGTTTGCCCATCCGTGGGACGTTACCCTCAATTTAACCTCTGTCTCTGACACCTGAACTCTGTGAACTCAAGATTCCAGACGCAGTCTGTCCTTTTGTTGTTTTTTTTTTTCACCAACTGCCTGTGGCATAGTGAAATGAATAATGTCTTCCCTCTAACTTCCAATCCAATATTCCCTTTTCACCTAGAAGTTCAAATTATGATCTCATTTGGAAGTAGCACATTTTCAGCTATAATTAATGAAGATGAAGTCATCTTAGAATAGGGTGGCCTTTAAATTCAACGACTAATGTCTTTATATAAAAAAGAAGAAGACCCAGAGAAACTCATAAGAAAGAATGTTGTGGACAGATAGAAACAGCTGTGGAATGATGCATCCCCCTGCTCAGGAAAGTCAGGGCTTGCCAAGTGTCACCAGCAGCATGGAGAAGACAAGGGATGGTTCTCTCCTAGAGCATTCCGAATCAGCGTGGCTCCACCAGCGTTTTGATTTTGTTCCTCTTTTCTTTAGAGTCATATACGAATAAGATTGTGTTATTGCAGACCATTCAGTTTGTGATATTTTATATGTATCTTGCAAACTAATATAAATGCACATATTGATTTAAAACAATAGCTGTATTTATGTCAGGTTTAACAAATAAAAAATCAAATAAAATTACTAGAGGCAGGAGTAACATTATGTAATAATGCAAGAAAGATCTAAGAAAAAAATAATGATTCTGAATTCATATGCACCAAACAACAGTATCTAAGTTTGTGATGCAAAAAGTAACATAACAGGATAAAAAAGAAAAACTCATAATCACAATTGAAAACTGTTTCCACCTATATAATTAAAAGAGCTATGATAAAGCAAACATAAAGGTTGTAGATAATCATTAAATAGCTATGCAACAAGATATAATTTACTAAATGAAGCACTTCTTCAACAGTAACAGGACATTGTTTTAAACATGCATAGAACAGTGATGAGGTCTGAACTCAAATTTTGAAAACTTAACAGAATTTGAATTATACAGAATATGTTCTCAGGCTACTTGGAATCAAACTGGAAATTGTTAACATAATAGGAATATCTTAAATGTGGAAATTAAAGAATCTAATTCTAAATAAGCAGTGATCCAAAAAATCATAAATTTATATGCCTCTGAAGCAATATTGAGAGGAACCTTTAAAAAAACGCATTATGACACTAGGAAAGGACAAAGGCATCAATTCAGTAATCTGACCACCTGAAGAAACTAGAAAAATCAGAAACCCAACATAACCAATAGAAAGGAAATGATTTGTAACAGAAATGAATAAGTTAAAAATAAAATCAAAATCGGTAAAACAACACAAAAACACAGTAAAACACAAAGCTGGCTACATATAAAGATCAATAAAACTGTTAGACTTTCAGGAAGACTGATATAGCTAGGGGATGAAACTAGAGATTATTTTTATAGGATTAACAAAGCTAAGAAGGAAATAAAATAATATACAATGGTAAACTCACAAATATGACAACTTAGAGGAAATGAGCCTAAGAATATTACTGTATTTTTAGATGCATTCTTAGAAGAGAGAAATCGAAATGAGGATGTTGGGGGCAATTTTACCGGTGTTCTCCAAAAAGAGATGGGTATGGATACAGGGATAGAAGACCCCATGAAAATGGCAAAAGAAGGTGGCCACACATTAGAGAGGTTTCAGCAGAAACCAACCCTCAATGTCAGACATCTAGTCTTCAGAATATAAGAAAATTATTTTATGTAAGCCAGCCAGTCTCTGGTACTTTGTTAAGATATCGCTAAACAAGTATATCAGCCATTCAAGATAAAATTTCTCTGCAAAGCAGAAACAAGGAGAACCTCCTCAATTTTGGTAACAACAACAAAAATTACCAGAAATCCCACAACTACAATACTTCAGTGGTGAGTGTAACACTGGATGCTATTACTCTAGCAATGGAAGCAAGCCTTGCATGTCATTCTCACCATTTTGTTCAGCATGGCATTGAAATTTAGCAAATCAATACAGGGAAAAAATGAGTGAAGGAAAAATAAATAAATAAAATACGCATACAGGGCCCGGCGCGGTGGCGCAAGTGGTTGAGTCCTCGCCTTGCACGCCCGGGATCCCATATGGGCGCCGGTTCTAATCCCGGCAGCCCCGCTTCCCTTCCAGCTCCCTGCCTGTGGCCCGGGAAAGCAGTCGAGGACAGCCCAAAGCTTTGGGAGCCTGCACCCGCGTGGGAGACCCAGAAGAGGCTCCTGGCTTTGGATCTGCATAGTATCGGCCCGTTGCGGCTCACTTGGGGAGTGAATCATCGGATGGAAGATCTTCCTCTCTGTCTCTCCTCTCTGTATATCTGCCTTTCCAATAAAAAAATAATAAAAATAAATCTTTAAAAAAAATACGCATACAGATTGGAAAGGAAAGCCATGTAGGTTTTATTTTCTTTTTTTTTTGAAATTGATCAAAGCTGCATATATTTTATTTATGTGATGCAAATTAAAGTCCCAGGCAGAGCTATGGAAAAAAAATTTAGATAATCAGTAATTGCCAAAGGTTAGAAGTCTAAATGTATTGTATTATGCACTGTTAGTGAACGTGTGTCGCTATACATTTGTTAAGATATAGAATAAATGACATGAAAAAGAGCACTGTAGACTTAAGTTACCAATATTGACTCACTGATTGTAACTAGTGCACTGCAATAATTAAAATAATAAAAGAAGAGAAGACCAGGGGAAGGGCCAAGAGTATGTGAGAGTACTAAATTTCAGGGTTTTTTTCTTGGTAAATGCACAGCTTCTCAAATGGGGGTATTTTAAAATCTAAGCATCTTACATGATTCCTTTTATATAACATTACTGGCATAACAAAATCACAGGAACGGAAAAGAGAGAAGGGGTATCCAGTGGTTAGCAAGGTAAGGTGGTGATGGTCAGATGTGTGGAGAGAATGATGGGTTTTTCTATAAAAGAGTAGCAGGAAGAACCTCATGGTGATGGAATCGCCCCAGCTGGTGAAACGGCACAGAATCATGCATGCCCATACTCACTATTCTGTGCTTGTAACTGCTCTGGCTATAATAGCATACTGTGGTTTTTCAAGGTACTGTAACCAGGAAACATGATGAAAGGTACTCAGGATCTTTGTATTTTCTCTTACAAACAATGTGAATCAAAAATTGACACCAGAAATTTAATTTTGAAAATTCAAGTTACTGTTGTAGTTTGTTCTCATGTTCTCCAAAACAAGCCATAAACTTTAATGTTGTTGAATTCTGTTTCCTTTCAGTCTACCCATATTGATGCTACTTTATATACTGAGAGTGATGCTCATGTAAGTATAGTATGTTATTCAAAATTACTGTGCTTTCCAACATTGAAAAGTTTGACATGCATGTTTTTATAATAAATGGAGTATGTGTGGTTAAAACTTTAGGATATATTACAAATATTTATTTGCTAGAAAGAGACTGAGCAAGGTATTTCATTTACTGGTTCATGCTCCAGATGTCCGTGACAACTTAGAGTCAGGCAAAATCAGGAGCCAGTAATTCCATCCAGGTTAACTATGTGGGTGACAGGAAGCCAACTCGTTGACCCATCATTTGCTACCTTGGAGGATGTGCTCTAGCATGAAGCTAGAAACAGAGAGAAGGAAACTTGGGCCTGGGCACTCCAATGTGGAACACAGACATTCTATGTGGCATCATAATTACTAGGGGAAAGGCTTACTCCTATATTTAATTTCTCTAACTTTTCGTATGTTCTTACATGATCAATAGATTTTCTAAGTGATTGTTCAGGTTGTGTGACTTCGGGACAAAAGCTTAATAAATGCAACTTTTGTAATGTTGCCAAATCAAAATACAAAGAAAGTCCCCTTCATCAATGTCAAACCAAATTTATTATACATTTTATGATGTAGTTAGAGCTTGATGAAATTAGACACAAGAATTTGGTTAACTGATTCGATTTAAAGGATCTAGCATAACAGTTATTCCCAGTGCGGTAGTATGTCAGCCCCTCTAATTGTATCTTCTGCAAATTGCTTACAGGCATCCATGCTCCTCATTTTCCAGGATCTCTACATTTGTCAGAAAAGATTTCTGACTAAGTGTTCTATATGTGAGAAAAGAAACATAATCCACAAACCTGGTCAAAATTCAAAAACAACCTTAAGTATGTCCCGTTAGCATGATGGCATTGCCTACGGAAATAGGATGATAGTCATGTTACTTATCATTTCTCTCTGGATTGTTACTAAAACCAAGAAAACAAGCTATGTTGTGTGTGTTCAACATCATATTTTCCCTTGGTTAATCTTCAATTAGAATTTCTCTGAAATAGAAAACCTTGTCTTCACTCATATTTTCCACGCGTTGCAACAAAGCCACATCCATCAAGGAGAAAAAAGCAGAAAATCACAAGGGAATTGCAGTTTCATGTAGCAATTCCTTCCCTCTTCTGGCCTCAGCATATTTTATGCTTTTTTTTTCATTTTTTCAAGCTGAAAGAAGTTAACCACAAACACTCAGCAGTTTGAGTGTGTGTGCGTGCGTGCGTGTGTGTGTGTGCGCGCGCGCGTGTGTGCGTGTGTGTCTCTGTGTGCGTGCATGTGTGTGTGTCTCTGTGTGTTTTGCCCATGGGTTATAGAAGGAACTCAATATTGAAATTCACCGTTAAATACTAACTAGTCACTTCATCCTCAGTTAGCTTGGAAGTCACTCAATGCACCTGAACCTTAGTTTTGTAATTGCTAATATGGTGACAATATTTTTCTTTCCAACGTAAACAGCTGCTTTTGGGAATAAAGAGTATTACCAATGCTGGCACATAGATCTGCTCGTTCATTTAGTCTTCTGTTCAGTGAACGAGTATGGCCTGCAGCTGCTCAGGCACTACACAACACCTTGTGGACACTGTCCAGTCAGATTTTGATCAGCTTTCCACGTGTTCATTAAAAAAGCCCTTTTCTTCAAATTTAGGATTTTAAAAGAGCAATTGATGTGAGAAATGTACTTTTATAATAATCCTTGTAATAAGGTCAACTGTCTATAAAACTATATCTGCTTTAAGTTTTCCTATATATTTCTGGGAATCATGTTTTTGGAATTTGGGAACTAGCAGAAATAAGATTATTACTATTTAAAATACTAACAGTGTCTTATTTTTGAAATGTTCTTACAAATATCTGCATTAGTGTGTTGAGAGTCTAGGTGCTCAGTATCATTCTTTCCATAGGAAAAAAAAAGTGTTTAATAAGAAAAGATGTTCTGATCTGCTCTTTCCACATTTTCTAGTTTTGTGTTCTTCGTCCTGTGCAATATTGAGATTGTTTTGATTAACTTTATTGGTTGTTTTCATTTTTATTTCTACTCCAGAAGACAAAATTAAGCCGAATACTCATACAATTTGAAGGGCATTAGGTGTCTTTATAAAGGTCTTTGACTTTAAAACCATCAAATTTGCCTCACTGCAAAAATGAATGTTGGGAAGTTGTTTTTTTCAAAATGGTTCTCTATAATTTGTATTTGTAGCCCAATTGCAAAGTCACAGCGATGAAGTGCTTTCTCCTGGAGCTACGAGTTATTTCACATGAGTCCCGAGACATGGACATTAACGAGACGGTACAAAACCTTATCATTCTAGCCAACAGCAGTTTATCTTCTAAAGGGGTAAGTTTTCAAAAGGCTAGAAAGTGGCAAATCTCATCTTTTTACTTGATTGTGGGACATTATTAATGGACAAACAAACCTTTCTAAAGTGCACATAGATAGCAGAATTCAAATCTAGTGCAGTGACATCAAAAAGTGACACCTCTGCCAGTATACATACCATGCGAACTACTTGTGAATTTATTTGGTTAGCAAATATTTGCTAGATAGTATTGATTTCATGCTCTAGTGCTAGAGTCTTGATGGTGAGCCAGATAGGTCATTCACTTCAAGGTATTTACCATTAGGTGTAGCACACAAACAGAAATAAAATTATGTAATCAAGTGTTTAAAATCAAGTATAGTAGCTCACATTTATTGAGTTACTGTGATGTGTCAGACCCTATTCTTCAAGCTTTAACTGGATAATTCATTTAATCTTAACAATGCATATGTGGGGTAGTTATCCATACTTCTGGATGAAGGTCAAAGAAATTGAAGCACTGAGAACTTTGAGAGCACACAGACAGGAAAATAGCAATCCATGATTTTTACCCAGGAGGCTTCACTCCAGAGTCAGTTCCTTATTTCCTGAAAATATAAATCATGAGAAAGAATAATAAAATTTCACAGTTTAAATAACATTAGTTATATTCCAGGTAACATGGACATTGCAGTGTTCTGTGAAACCACTGGTGGCTCTTATGATAGTTGTATCATGAGCATGCAGACTCCCAGATGTAAAAGGCATTATGGCACACATGGCAGAACAGAAAACACCAAGAGTGATAGAAAGCAACTTTAAACAACAGCCAGTGCAAGCTGTACTGTAATTGGTGCAGAATTCATTTATACAACTGAACTTTAATGATGTTTCATAAATGAAAGGGATCAACTGTTGATCTTTAAAGACACAAATAAAAAAAAAGACAAAAATGACCAACTGTGAGGAATTAATAAGATTTTTAGTAGTATGGAATTTATCCTGAGATCTGAAGTAAATACGCAATCTTCAGACCTAAATTATAGCTTAAAAAAACAAGTGAGTGCCCAGTGCAATAACCTAGTTAGTGGCTGAATTCTTGCCTTGCATCCCCAAGATCCCATATGGGTGCTGGTTCCTATCCCAGCTGTTCCACTTCCCATCCAGCTCCCTACTTGTGGCCTGGGAAAGCAGTAGAGGATGACCCAAAGCCTTGGGACCCTGCCTCCATTTGGGAGACCCGGAATAAGCTCCTGGCTTTGGGATGGCTTAGCTTTGTCCATTTGCAACTACTTGGAGAATGAAACAGCAGGCAGAGGATCGTTCTCTCTGACACTCCTCTGTATATCCTCCTTTCCAATACAAAATAAAAATAAGTCTTGGGCCTGGCGCGGTGGCGCAGTGGTTAAGGTCCTTGCCTTGCACGCCCGGGATCCCATATTGGTGCCGGTTCTATCCCGGCAGCCTGCTTCCTTTCCAGCTCCCTGCCTGTGGCCCGGGAAAGCAGTTGAGGACGGCCCAAAGCTTTGGGACCCAGCACCCATGTGGGAGACCCAGAAGAGGCTCCTGGCTTCAGATTGGCATAGTATCGGCTGTTGCGCTCACTTGCGGAGTGAATCATCGGACAGAAGATCTTCCTCTCTGTCTCTCCTCTCTGTATATCTGCCTTTCCAATAAAAAAAATAATAAAAATGAATCTTTAAAAAATAAATAAATAAATAAATAAATCTTATCTGTTGTGCTCATGAAGAAAGTAAGAAAATTACTCCAACCCTGAAAAAGCATGGAAACTTCATATAATCTAACACATTGTATACCAGAAAACTTTCATTACTAACATAATGCTAATTACATTAAACATTATTCTATGTGCAGAGCAAAGCAAAACAATTTATAATGGACGTGACAACAAAATTAGGTCATGTAGTAAGTAATTCCCATTGATCAAGACACAGGATAAAAAAGAAATACAATCCTTTCTCATAGATAATCAGTAAGAAAATACTTAATTAGGCTGTTAATATATTAAGTGACAAAAAAAATAAGAAAAGAAAAAATGGGGACAGAAGTTTTAGTTTAGAGGAATATTAATTGATAAGATTAAATTTACCAAAATTGAGAGTTTGAGCTTTAAAATATCTACAATTTTGTGTTTTGGCAGAGAGGACCGAAATTGCGGAGACCCTGCGTCTATGGTGTCAGGAGGCTTTAAATTTCATAGTTTTCATTTATTTGTCCATTTGGTTGTTGTAGACAGATGAAGAGCGAGATCTTGCATCCACTGGTGTACTTCCCAAATGGTCTCAGTGGCCAGGATTGAGCCAGGCCAAAGCTTAGTCAGGAGCTTCTTCAGAGTCTCACATGTGTGCTCTGGAGCCCAAGCAACACTTGGGTCATCCTCTGCTGCTTTCTCAGGAACATCAGCCAGATACTGAATCAGGGTAGAGCGGCTTGGACTCAAGCCAGTGCACACCTGAGATGCTGGCTGGATTTTGTTTAGAAATCACCTTCTTTGTGATGTCACTGTTGCGGTCCATCTTTGACTTTAACATTTCCTGTTTCTCCCTTTGCAGATTCTACTTTCTGACCTATTACATATTTTACATAACAAGCATTGTTTTCTCCCACTAGAGTAATAGCTTTGCAAGGGCAGACTTTTTTTGTTTTCCAGTATGGAATCCCAATTCCCAGAAAAATGCCTTGCAGAGACTAAGGAATCAATACCTTGTCGTGGATTATCTCTGCATGACCTAGGGAGAGTGAGTCCTTGAGTGGATAACTCATGGCACTACCAGTGTGAAAACTTAATGTTCCTGTGACTGGTCACCCCATCATGGCAGTGTGGCCTGTGTCCTGGAGAGACAGGCAGGCCTGGAAGGCTGAGATGTCAAGGCTTTCCAAAGATGATGTTGATGGGGATGAATCACTTCAATTCTTTCTTCCTCCCTGATGTGATTACCTTCAGGCTCAAATAGGAAAGCCTTATATGAAAGATGACAGTGGTAGGCATTGAGTATGTGCTTGATAAATATTGTCGAATCTGAATTCCAAAAGCTTAATGGAGGTAAAATCTAATTTTGAATTTTGCTGACACAGCCCTCACAGTTCAGATGATCTCTAAAAAGTATATTCATGATTGCTGCATTCAAATATTCTTATTATTCATGAGTCTGTGTTTGAATTATAGCAATTTATAATACTGACTTAAGTGGTCCCACTGAGCCAAAATGACCAGATGATTATAATGTGCCTTGCCCCATGCTAAATGGTCGGGAAACAAAAATGTATAGCCTTTCCCTCCTAGAAGAGAGCATAGAAAATACTAGTAAAACTCTGTAATACATAATGCATGAGAAAGATCTGAACAAGGAATTCTGAAAAAGGCATGTGGAATCTGGCACCAGAAGCTCAGGGGTTCCCCAAAGGTTCAAACAAGCTTCCTGAAAGTAGGCAATGCCTGAACAAACTTACATATAAATAGCAGCATTTGGAATAAGAAAAAGTGTCAGGCAGAGGGAAAAACAAAGGCGACAAGACAGACGTCACCATCACGTACCATGGTGTGTACGTGATGTGCCTCCAACAGTACAGGCAGTGAAGGAAACTGAAAGAAGTAGAGAAGTGACAGCTCATGGAGAGCCTGTGTGCCATGTGGCCGGACAAGAAGTTGAACTTAATGCCAAGGATGCGAAATCACTGAAGGGCTTTAAATTCGTAGCCCATCGCCTAGCAGACACAGCTTTTTTTTTTTTGAATCTATCGTAGGAGGGAAAATAAAACACTGATATCTAATCTAACAGTTCTCCATTCTCATAGTTTTTCCTAATACGATACTTATTTGCAAAGTCTTTATGCCTCAAGAACCATAATATTTAAATAATGTGATTTCCCTAGAAAAGAAAGGGATGCTACATGCTACTCTAACTCTTGCTTTTTGCTTGGCAGAACGTAACAGAATCTGGGTGTAAAGAATGTGAGGAACTGGAAGAAAAAAGTATTACTGAATTTTTGCAGAGTTTCATCCACATTGTTCAAATGTTCATCAACTCTCCTTGATTGAGAAAGATTCTATGCAGTGTTTCCACTGTTGAGCAATGCGTTTCTGCTGATTGCAGGCAACCAAACACATTTCAAACAAGCTGCTAAAGCAAGTTTTCCAGCGAGAAGATGGGCAGGATCTTGGATTAAATGTTCTCCTGGAAATAAAAGGCAGAAAAATGACTTTTAATATCATAGTGACTATGAACTTTTTTCTTCAGACATAGTTTGCTAATCTGTTTTTAATTTATTAATTGTACATATTTTCCACATGATGAAGATGTTCAATAAAATTGTGTGTATATTTTATCATTTGAAGTTGTATTAATATTTTATCTCTTTTAGAAAAATAGAGGGCATCTATTAAAGGGTGATCGTTAAATTATGTAATAGCTGATGGGGCTGAGTACCAGTGCTGCAGGTCAACAGCTTTCATGGAATGCTCCTTCTGGGGTGGAACCACCAGCAAGGAATCCTCAGGGACCTCCTGGGAGTAGCACCAGAGAAGGCACTGACTACTGAGGAAGAAAAGAGGAGACACGCCTCAACCCTGATGCTTCACTTCAGAATATAGCTGTTGATACACAGAGCACTTGCCATGTAAGAAAATGCAATACATAGCATGGAATAGGAGGTATTAAATCATAGGTGCAAATAGCAATAGTAAGTAGAAGGAGATACAGAAAATTTATTGTTCCAAAATAATTTTATTTCATGCTTTCCAAATATGGAAATTTTATTTTCACATTATTTTTTGTCGTGTTTTTAGGATAAAATAAAATCTAATCTTTGGTGGGAGTCAATATTATGTAACAGAAAATAGTTGTAATTTCTGTATATAATGTGTTATAACTGTTATTTATAAGTATGTACTAAAATATGCACTAAGATTTGCTAAATTCTCTAGCTTTTCTATTTGTGCAGAGTAAGTAAATGCAGCAAATTTTCTGACTTTTCCAATTGAAATATTAAGGAACAGTTAATGTTCCCTTGTGCGATTAGAGTGAGGGAAGGAAAGCCATAATGCAATCATACTGTCAATGATATTTTATGGTGATCAATAGCTGTTTTGATTAGATAAGCACAAGCAGGCTTTAAATTTGGAGTGATCCTCAGTTCAGATTTATAATTATTTTCATGTCGTTATCTTAATGGCTTATTTTATTTGATCTCAGGAACCTCAAGTCATGGATCTACAATTTCTTAAAATATTCTTAGTTAGCTTAAGAATCAACAGTATAAAGCAATTTCAATTGTATTGTTCATACTTGCGCTTGATATTAGCCAAAAGGCTGAGAAGTGATCATACTTGTGCTTTTAACAAAATTAGCATTTTCTGCCTAAAAATCTTTCTTTTTGAGTCATCCTCTTTACTTGGCTTAATATCATTTGCCAAAAGAATACTGTGCTTATAATTCACTTGCTATCCTAAATGCTAAAAATATTTGCCATACATCACATGTAATAAGGAAAAGCGCAGCGATCATATACTTAACCCAAATAGTAAATCAAACTACCAAAACTGAAGGCTGAGGTCCACAGTCACAGTGATGAGTTGTACTCCTGCATTTTAATTTCAACTGAAGGACTGATACACAGGACAATATTATTTCTACACCATCCCTGATAATAAACAAATGACTAGAATCTAGAGAACAGGGGAAAGCAAACAGAACTAACACACAGTTTGTGGTTAAAAATTTAAAAGCCCAATTATAAGTCTAGCTTTATGTTTATGTCAGACAAATCAATAGGATTATTTTGTTTTGGAGCTATGCTTGCAAGAGGAGCTTATAGCTTTTGATGGGATAGTGTCTGTGGCCATCAAATCCAGTAGCTCATCAAGTTACTCTAATATACATGGTACCAAAATCAAATATTGTGATTTTTCTGCCTTCTGCATTCACTCAGCACAGAAATATTAGACAATGCCTCTGTAATTCTTCATCTGTGTTGCATAAAGTTTTGGTGCAAAGTCTCTGCAATCATAGGTAAACCATGGTTAGCATTTGCCTGCCATTTGTAAATATTTTGCCCAGAGGAAATCCCATTTCCATACAAAGCCAGTTCAGTATTCCTTGGAGTGTGCCTGATGACTGAATCATGTCCTCACAAAAGAACTTGGTGTGCAAGGTACAAATCAGCATCATGAAGTAGTCTCCTCACCATAATTACATACTCTGGCCTACATAAAATGGAAGAAAACAATGAATCATCAGCAAAGAGTCCTGCTTTCATCCTATATTTTATTTTTTAATCATGCATTTCAAAACAAGTTATCTATTGAAGCAGTTGAAGAGGAAATTGCTACACAGAAACAGAATTGAAAATTGTGATTTATTTTTTTACAGTGTCAAAACTTTCAGAATAATGCTCTCAAAGAATCCAGGATCTCCCTATAGCATATTTCTGTTCACGATGCCGCTAATCATTCTTTTCTTTCATGAAGAAATTCATTCACTCAATTATATTGCTACCATGTTTATTGAAAATCTGTGTGAACCTTATGCTTGGTGACACAGTAATTAGAGCTGTGCATGAGAAAGCCACATCCCTGCTGTCATGGATTGAACATCCACAGGACAATCCTACTGACAAATTTTGGTTTGAGCTACTTGCTACCTGCTTTCTGATGGGTACTAGGGGAGAATGCATAAAGGCAAAGACTAGAGATGTTTAAGTTGTTGGAATGAGAAAGTGATATCTGGGTTCAGCTATGATTTACAATAAGGATTTTATCCAGGGGGAAGTGGGAATCAGAGCCACCTAGGAAAGGGACTACTCTGTAGCAGGGAGGGAAAGTCAAAGCGACCAGAAAGAGGGAGATGACTGAAAGGGGATATCTGCCAGGTGAGTATCAACTGCTCCCTAGATGCCAGGAGAGATTATTCTGAAACTGCGGAAGAGACAAGACTCCTACTCTGACATATACAGATTTTTAAATGGAGGCGTCAATGTTGTTGTCAAGAGGAAAAGCTGAAGTCAAAGCCTCCTTTCCTGTGAAGCACTGGTTCATAAAGTCACTCCTTATTAACCCTCCAACAAGCCATCGCTGCAGCCAGTGACTATTTCCCTCACAATGCAGTGACCAGTTCAAGCAGGTAATCACTACCCACAAACATCTTGGCAGTCTATGTGATTTGAGAAGTTGGCGTCATAAGGAATATACAAGTCCTGGGTCGGGGTTAAGTGTAGTCAGAATTGACCTATGACCCAAATTTCATTGCAAGGAAGGCTTCTTGGAAGAATGACTTCATGAATTGCTTTTCACTGAGAACTATTTGGTACTAAAGGAGGCCAATTAATTTCATCAAGAGGAACAGCATGGAGAAAGTCACAGAAGTGCCAGAAGTATACTCAGGGGAGTGATGACACACACAGTGCAGGCAAGGAAAGTGGAAAAAAGCAAGGTGTGTGGGTGGAGGAGGAGAAAACTTGGAAAGCACAATTAGGTTTCTTATAATTAGGGATTCACGGTGGTTTAATTATGCAAGGGCTTAAAAGATAAGAGAATTGATGGGTATAAGGAGAAGACGGGAAGAAGCAACGCTTTTGAGTAAGTGACAGCTAAGAGCCTAACATTGTGGTATCGGTTCTATCTGACAAGTGCTGTGTTTTCAAAGGTTTTTAAGATCATGATTATTAGCCAAGTTCATGTTGCTGGGCTTTGTTGAAATCAGTCCTCAGATGTATCTCTGGGTTGTTTTGTCTGAGGAAGCACCAGGATGATGGTCAGAGTAACGATGATCTCACCCTTTTATGCTTCTTTAATGCTAGCAAAGTACTGTTATTTATCTTATTATATTTGGTAAGCATTTCTGTCCGTCTTGGACAGAAAGAGTTCCAGAGGCTTGCAAACTTCTTATTTCCGTTACTGATGTGTCAAATTCAAAAATAAAAAGAATCCACCTGAAAGTTTTGTCTAGCCTCAGTTGAGTTTTTTTATGCCTTGTTGCCTTTTATATTTCTTCCCAAATAAGTACGAACATTATAATTGGGGTGGAAAATTATTTATTGTTTAAGAAATCTGGGCCCGGCGCGGTGGCGCAAGTGGTTAAAGGTCCTCGCCTTGCACACCCGGGATCCCATATGGGCGCCGGTTCTAATCCCGGCAGCCCCGCTTCCCTTCCAGCTCCCTGCCTGTGGCCTGGGAAAGCAGTCGAGGACGGCCCAAAGCTTTGGGACCCTGCACCCGCGTGAGAGACCCGGAAGAGGCTCCTGGCTTCGGATTGGCATAGTATCGGCCCGTTGCGCTCACTTGGGGAGTGAATCATTGGACGGAAGATCTTCCTCTCTGTCTCTCCTCTCTGTATATCTGCCTTTCCAATGAAAAAATAATAAAAATAAATCTTTAAAAAAAGAAATCAAAATAAGGCTTGAGTGTGTATTTTTTATTCCATATTTTGATTATTTTTTTTCACACAGTTCTATTTTGGTGTTTTGTTTGCTTTGCCCAGATGGCAAATGCACCATTAAGCTTTTCCAGCCTGAATTAATTATCTTTTTATAGTAAACGAAAATCGTCTCCTTCTGACAAGTAAGATGTTTGCACTGTATTTATGAATAAATAAAGGCAGCTGTTATACACAGCATTATTAATAGCTTTGCTTTAAACATATCATCTGAAAAGAAATCTACTCTTTTCTGTATCACGTAAGCTATTGGTGTTCCAGTTTGTTGAAGAGTGGAAAGCACAGACTTGTTATCTACACTGCAGACTGGCAAGCAACGTCTTGCTTTCTATGAATCACTTAAAGCAGCTAGCAGAAGTCAGGGCTCACTTCAATGATTGTTTTCTTTGCTGGCCATTTAGCCCTGATTTTTACAGGCTAAGAGTCTAGACCAAGAAAGCATCTTTCCTTGGAAACAGAAAGTTAACAGGCAGCTAAGATTTCATTCAGGTGTTTGCAGTGATGCCATCACTTGTTTTCAGTTGAGTGGCTTCTTGACAGGAGATACACCATTGTAAGTGTGTGTTGCCGAGGCAGAGGAACCCTTTGCTCTCATGGAAAGCCTTTTAAGTGCTGAGCCAAGAAGACTAAGGTGAAGTTTAACTTCTGTCACCATTATGAGAGTGCAATGCCCCCAGCACAACTAATTGGGCTGCTGGCAGATCCTGGTAGAAGGTACTTGCTTTTTCATGGGCCTTTGCTGTTTCTCAGCATAGGTAACTTGTCATTAAAGATTCATTTTTTAGACATTTTAATTT